AGCGCCTGCGATGACTCTCAGCGCTGTGTAGTGCATCGCATTTAACCCGCGCCCGGCCGGGTCATGAGACAACCGCGACCGGCTGGGGGAGTTGTCTTCCCACTGGGATCCCAACTTCCAGACGCCGTATAAGAAACAAGCTTATCGTTTTGAAGGTCTCGTCAAATTGTGAAAAATGCACACCAAATTTTTTACCTGAGGTCAAATGTGAGGCAACCAGGTGTCACAAAAGGTCAAAAACAGTCGCTCCAATAGATGCAGCTAAAACTATGTCGACTCGTTAAAACTGATATTGAAGGCACGGGAATAAACATTAAGACTGTGGGGTATCCATTCCGACTATTTCTGTTCCCCAAATGGATCAGGTCAGATCAGGTCACCGTTCGAAATTGGTCTACCAGTAGCCTACAAGAACCATGCTTTTCACAATGTGCTTATGGCTAAGGTTATGCTATTATTTGCAGCTGTGGACAAAAAGTATTCCAGACACAAAAAAACATTTTACGTTGACGTAGAGACCATCTGAAGTCAACTTAAGTAAAATTCATAAACCGACTAAGTGAAACAATTGAAATGCCAACAGGGTCTATGCGACCAGTACAATGCTTGTTTTTTTGAGGTCAGAAATAATGTATTGTAGATCTGCAAGCGCTCCAATCGCATAGCTATTGTTCATCTTATACATGGTCTCTTCGCCGCTTAGCAATGTATTATAAACAAACTGAAAACATGTACGTTGGTACGTGACATTTTGCGTCATTGGCTTCACAAACAGAATATGGAGGTGGTTACACGCGTCGCACTCGTTCATCTAGTTTTTCCGCTGCTGGCAACATAGGTCACTAACCTTTAATTACCTCATATGATCTTGCATGTCCTCACACCACCTATTGCTACCTCAATATGCATTATAATGATACCACACCATGTTTCCAGTGGAGTAGTGGAAGTCTGCGTGCAAAGTTTCCTTAAAAAACTGCCTATTTTTAGCTCAGTACGTGTTCTGCAGTGTATCCATGGAGACAGGTCATGGCCTTGGGTCAAAGTCATGTGTTCTGTGTTTATATGATGGTTGTGCATAAAAGCTAGCACTCATTCTCACAAATTCAAACACTAAAACCACAAAAAACGTACAACTTTTTGTTCTTGACGAAAATACAGCAAATATTTGCCTGACTTGCTATCACTGAATTTTCATTTTACAAAAACTATGCAGTATGTTAGGTCACAAAGTATCATGATCTATTACTATAACAGGTTTTAAAAATTGCAAATGATTCAGAAAAAGGTTATGTGTGGCCACAGCTTTTTAAAAGTTGACCTCTTTGACCTGACCTAGGTCACTGAGCTTGGTAAATCAAAGCTTCAATTTGCACCAAGGATGCCAAGTTAATAGACGTACTACAAATTTTGTGTTTCTGCAGGCGTTCGTTTTTGACCTGTGCTCGAAAAACCACAGGAGGGAAGTCAACTTTCCCCCTTTCCTTTCGGCCGGGCGCGGGTTAAGGAATTTTTAACATAATCTGAGGCACCGTCATGTACAAAATAGGCATAATACAGCTTGGAGCGTAGCAGAAAACGGCCCAAGTATACAAAGTTTATCTGCCAGCCCCGTGCGATGTTCGTGCGACACATTCCGCAAGCTGAATCCCGAGAAAACGCGCTCTCGATTCGGACGGTATCAGCTGCCCGCATACTGAGACGTGCATTTTGTGACAGCTCCGACATCGGCAAAAGTGAACACCTTTTGTGTTCGCCGTCCAGAACCGGAGTCAGTTGTGAATGTCCCAGTCCTCCAGGCGACATAAAAATTGATGCAATGGTCACAGAATTTCTCAGAGGGACGGAGGTGAAACCCTTTCAGAATCACCAACAAACACAAATAACGTCTATCAAGATGGCAGCCTGAGCTGTCTCATGTGTTGCAACCTCTCGGACGAGAAGTTGGCACACCGCCATTTTTAGTGCCGACGACACTTACTTTCTCGATGTTTAGCTGACGATAATCTATTTTTCAGTTTACCGACGACACTGACTTGCCTGCTTCGCTCGATTGAAAAACGCGCTTTCGCAACTTCTTTACTGGTGTAACAAGAATAAAATCGAAACAACGCGGCAAAAGCTCAGCTTCTCAGACTTGGAACAAAGTGCCGTCGAGGTGCGCCAAAAAGTGCAGCAAAGTGCATCGTGATGTTCTCAAATTTGCCACCCAAACTGAAATATGGACAGTGACTGAAACCAAGGCTGTCAAGAATCTGTCTATCATTATTGACAAGAACCTAACCTTGCAACGACGCAGTAACCAACTGACAGCAAAGTGTACTGAAACACCTATCGCCCTCATCCACATCCAACGACATTGTTTCGCACCGTGAGCTTCAGTTGGTGAAATGATGTATCATGTCCTCGGTCCTCGCTACAGCACATCCGCTTGCCAATCATACGGCACCACACAATTTCCTCAATTCGTTACTGCACATCCGCTTATTAATCATGCAGCATCGTACAATTCCTCAATTCGCTACCGCGCATCTGCTTATTGAACACGCGACATCACACAACTTCCTCAATTCCTTACTGCACATTCACTTATTGAAGATGCGGCAGCACACAATCTCCTCCGTTTGCTACTGCACATCCGCTTATTGAACATGCGGCACCACATCATTTCCTCAGTTCGCTACTGCGCCTTCGCTTATTGAACATGCGGCATCTTTCCTCAGTTCGCTACTGTACATTGGCTAACCAAACATGAGGCGCCACACAACTTCATCGGGTGGAAAAACTATTTCTGGCACACGTTTCATGATGAGCAAAATTAGGTATGATACAATTTCAGAGGAAGCAACATGCTTGGTAACTTTGTTGGTCTAAAACTAATAATAAACTGCTAAAAACTACTACTAAAACTATCGCCAGTTAGCTCATACCTAGACCATACTCGACACAGGATAGCCGACATATTTACGACCATGATTCCAGACAGTCCGGAACAACTACACTACTCAACAGATGCGAAAACTTAAAACAGCACGAGCCAAGACGAACGCCAGGAAGTCTAGACTTAGCCGCACAGCTGCGAAATTGCTCGACCGTTTGCCAACCGCCAAACAAAACACTAAGCACCTGCAACGCTTCACGGCAAACGTTATTTACCATCTGCTCCGAGGTGATCAGCTGAGCTGAGTGTACGTTGCTGCGTTGGTTTGTAAATTATGAGCTGGCTGAATTGTGACAAGCGTGAGTTTATCTTTCTCCACTTACTGTTCTTAACCACGACATGGATTTATAAAAAGCCTGGAACTATTTGGTGATGTTACCACAATGAACTGAGCTCAGTTGAACCCTGAACTGCCGCGGGAGGGTGGCGATCAAGTTTGCTCTGCATGCATAGCAGGCTGCCTCCCCAAAACAACGGCCTGGAATGGTCTCTGCTGGCCCGATTTTGGTTACAGTTAACCTATCGCAACATGTGCATTTTAGATCTATGAGTAGACACAACGTTTCGTGGCATTGCTTCGAATTGCTTAGGAGCAGCAAGCAACAAACAGTTGGGGAGGGCATGTATGAGAAAAAACGCGGAGAAATCCTCCGCGGAGAGCACGAGTAGGTTTATGCTCGGTACAAGGCGATGCCTCTCAGATGGGGTTTCCCCTCGGTTTTGCACACGTGGACGGAACCACATCGAAGACGGCATATTTTGCTTGAGAGTCGGCCGGAAGCACACCTATCCTTCACAGCGGGTTGACTCCGGGGCGCGGATCAGATGTCGGCCACGTCAGCATGGCGGCTCGTTCGACGCTGCGGCAGGGTCAGATGTCGCATTGCTGCTCCTGCTGACGGTCAGCCTGCACCACCGCTCTGACGATTCTAGCTTGGGTGCGGCCGGCTGCACTGGATATTGCCTTGACCTGGCCACTGTAACAGAGACGATAGCTACCCATATTTATGCTCAGTGCATAAGTAGAACCCGCGAGCTCTAGCTGATAGTTCCCCACCTTAGAACGTGGAGTTGCAACAAAAAACGGCATTGAATCACGCGCGCTCCGCGCTCCACCCGGCATCGCGCTCTCTTTCAGCAATCCCTCATGACGCCCTCCTCAATACAAGCCGAGCCACGGCCAGATCACCTGCCTCTCTCGAAGTCCCGTCGCTTTTCCGTCCTCCGAACAATCCCGGACTCCATGACATGACTTAATTTCCTGCCGACCAACGGGCCTTTCCCAGCACACTGCCTCACTTCACGCTAAAGGTGCTGCCTAACGACCTCATCATCTTCACTGCAAGCCTCCCCCGCGCTCAACACATATAGCACTAGAACCACAACTGTGGAGGCGCTTCCCGAAACGGTAATTGTGGCGATGCCTCGCCATACGGCCTTCGTGAAGTGAATACACTCGTGTAAGACTTCCGCGAGCACAGAAGCAACTGCAGACGCTCTGCTAATGAAGCGGTAATCCAGCCATTTGTGTTTCCTCGAGCTGTGACACAGGGTGTCGGACAGCGAGTTTTAAAAGGACTCCTTTGAGTTAAAAGCCACTCAGTGTAATCGGACTGCTCCACTCGCTTAAGAAAAAAATGCAGACATTTTGTTTGGTAAACTCACTCTTGGATTTAGGCAGCAACGTGGATCTTATTCAATGCGTGCTGCCGAGCGCGGTGCAGCGCCCTGATACACGAGCAACAACCTTGCACCAGCTGGCGCGGCTGGCAGCGTCCCAACTGTTGCCTGTGCCCGTCCTCGGCTGTTGCAAGGGCAGTGACCCGGGCGTTGGCGTGACCCCGGGCCACAAGGCAGCGCGGCGCCTGGTCGCCGGCGGGCGCCCCGAACGGCAGGGCAGCGCTCCAGCTGTTTACGCCGGCCGCGGCGTCGGCGACGCTCCAACAGGGCCGGCCGCCGACGCCGGCCGGCCCACGTCGGCGGCCGCTGCGCAGGCCCACGCCCGAGGCGATCGACTGCGGCCGCCGCCGGCTCAGTTGAGTCGGTGCCAGCGGCGGGTGGGCACGCGCGCGGGGTCCCGCGGACAAAGGAGAGGCGTGCGAGAGGAGACCGACGCGGAGAGGCGCGGCCGGGGGCGACTGAGACCGCGGCCGGCCGCCGACGCCGGTGAGCGACGCTCACAGCCATGGGCAACGTCAATGACTCACTGGCGCAAGATGAGTCGATGCCGCACCTGCCGAGGAACCCCACCATGCCCACCATTCAGGAGGAGGACGAGGACGCCAGCGACAAGTGAGGACGCGGCGATAAAGGCCGGCTTCGACACGTGACCTGATAGTGTCGCTGTCTCGAAAGGCATCACGTTAGGCGTGTCTTTGTTACTTGATTGGTGTGTCGTGGTTGTCAGTCCTGTGATGGGTTCGGGTTCAGGGAAATGGCATTGGCGGCTGATGAGAATTAATGATGTTGAGTCCTTGGATGATAGACGTGGAAAGGGAATACTCTCATGATAGACGTGGGAAGGGAGTACTAGCATGATAGACGTGGGAAGGGAGTACTTGCATGATAGACGTGGGAGGGAGTACTTGCATGATAGACGTGGGAGGGAGTACTTGCATGATAGACGTGGGAAGGGAGATTTTGCAAGCTAGATGTGGGAGGGAGTACTTGCATGATAGACGTGGAAAGGATGTATGGTTGTGGTGGCCGGGGTCATAACGTTCTGCTTGCCACCACATTGTCAGAGTGATGCACGGCAAAAATTGGTGTTAAACTGACAGTGTCCCACATCCTTACGTTTCGGAACTACCCTAATCCCTCGCATGGTGTTTCTGAAAGACGAGAATGATAGACGCTGGGGTGAGAGAAGAGGTCACTAAGACATTTGCGATGGATACAAGCGTGAGGGCTTTGAGGAGGACTGTGACAGATGAGGCACGGATACATAACAAGCTCACGGACGGGTATAAGGTCAGGAGGATAGCGCCTGTGTAATGAGCGGGACTGAAAATGGCGAGGGATTAGGATTGATACCATTTAGGATGCTGTGTTGGATGTTGATTAAGGAAGATTAGTTCGTAATTTAAATGTGAGGACCGAGAGTGCTGGACGTTTGATAGAACAGGTCGGCTTGAGAAGCACAGAAGGCCGGCTGTTTTTATATATCGTTATATTAATATAGACACACTGAGGCTTTCGGATACGATGTGATGATGTTGTTCACATATCGATAGACCCGGAGTAAAAATTAGAGGGGAAGAAGTCCCTGTAAAGCAACACAAGCTGCAATCTTGCGCAGGGCGTAGGATACGTTTGCTTCAAATAGAAAGGGTTTTCATATTAAAAACGAGGTTTTGTATTGGGTGAACGGTCCCAATTGAAAGAGTAGTAAAACACAAAAACTTAGCCATGGGAAACAAATGGAAATACATAAAAACATGGTGTAACCAGCATTAGGTGGGGATCCAGGATCGCTCTAGACAGATGTGTGGGTGGAAGCGAAGCATCTCACCAATGTTTCTGGGACCCGGAAAGTGAGGGTTTGCGCCAGCCTACTTTGAATTTGATACGTGTTTGTGAAAATTGGTTATGCTGATGTGCTTTAGATCAAAAAGATCATGGTGCAAATACAGGGCAAAAATGTCGAAGGATACGAGCGAAACCTCCAGAGGCAGAGACAGAGACAGAGACAGAGACAGAGACAGAGACAGAGACAGAGACAGAGACAGAGACAGGGACAGGGACAGAGACGATCAAATGACCGAATACCCGACCCAGACAGCGACCGACGGGGATCATGAAAAAGTCATGACCGTTTGTTGTGCGCAGTGGAATAAGTCATCTTACCTGATACAGACATGTTCTGACTGTTTTACTTGTCCGGTCACCCTGCTCTCACTAGACCCGTGGCCTGATTCAGATATGAGTTGTTATAATAAAAAACGGCCTTCAGCATGCCAGAAGGTAGTGGTGAAATGGAAAGGTCAAACAACCATTGGTGTGTTATGAAATATTGAAAGTTGATCATTTTCAGCGTTATAACTGACAACGCGAACAACTAGCCGCTTAATGCAGTTCTTGTTCATATCACAAATGTATGTCCGGCGCCAGGCAGACGTTAGAGAGAGCAACTTTACTGTTGCATGACTGAGGGCCCGGAAGACGAACGTTGAAAGACTTCCTTATGCTGTCGGTAACTTGACAGGGAAGCCAAAGACCCGGTCTGATCTGGCACGTAGGGGATGGCAGCAAATCACTTTGCCTTGGTGGAAAGGATTCCAAGCCACTCCAAGGTTTGTTCCCATCTGCGGTTTCAACACTCTTCAATTCAGCACGAGAAATTGTGTTCTTGCGTCATCAAATGAACCATATCTGAATCCTGTAAACACGAGACGAAAGTGGAGCAGCAGAGAAATGTGGGCGGGCTTGTCCACCACCGTGTCACACGTAAGTCAGTCAGTGAGGCAGACGTGCGGTCCGAACGGGAGCAAGGCGTCGTCTGGACCCTTGCCGTCACCGCTTCCTCCCTGCCTCGTTCACGACCCCACCTCACGTCGCGGCGTCGGCGCGAAAACGGCCCTCCTCGAGCTGCGGAATCGATACTGGTGTCGGTGTCCGGCATGACACGTGCCACTTGCCGTTGGCGAACCGAGCCCGCCGCTTCCGTATCGATTGCTGACATCAGCTGATCGCCCGGACGAGCGAGATGACCTTGGACTGTTGCAGTCGAGGCACCGGCCGACAGCGAGCGGGCGCTGCCCGCCACTCGAGCCCGTGCTCCCAGTGCGCGAGGCGGAGATCGCTCGTGAGAGTCGAGGCCTTGTTAGGCACGGCCGCCGCTTACAGCAACGGAAACGCGGCAGAAACGCGGTCGCGCCGCTGAGATGCAACCGCCTGCCGTGTCTGCAACTGAACATTTGCCGCTTTATTTTGAAGCGGGACCGCCACTCGCATCCATCCTACGATCGGCAAGGCAAAGGCGGGAAAGACGTCGCTGGGCACAAGTCCTGTTTCACATGACGTGTGAGACAGTTCTAATCAAATCAGAACCGCTAACCTGTGAGCGCTAGCCGGTTTCCGCTTGCTTTGTCGCGCAAGGAGGCGACGCCGTTGGCAACCGTAGTGTCACCAGCGAGTTGGATTGATAGCATTTGGCTAGTGTCTTAGTAACGTAAAATGCACCCTAAATGCCATTTCTAAGCCCGTCAGCACCCGTGGATCGCTCGGAATTATTGACTGTGCAAATAATGTGTGCGGCCGGGGGTACTTTTAAAATACCGCCGTCCGCACATCGGCCATAGGCTGTGTGCGAACAGACCCCAGCTTTCACTCACTGGGCGATCGCTATATCTGTTCAGCGGCTTGGCTCCTGCACGGACCGTCCCTCCCCCCCCCTCTCCCCCCCCCCTCACACACCGATCACATGTCAGGTCGTGACGTCACCACGGCGCTCGAGCGCGGCCGACGCCGCCGCGCACGGAAAATATTGTTCCTTCTCGCCGTGCGCTGACGTCTTTGCAAGCAGCGCTGAGGGCTTAGATAATGCATCAGTGGAACGTTGATTCAAAGCTTTGTTTAAATCCGGGGATAAAATGGCCAGAAATGTTGTCAGTGGTTTCGTCAGCTCCGGGATGGGGCACTTTCATGAGAAGTAACGCTCGTGACAGTAAAGCAAACGGGGGACGCAGCTGTGGTCAAGTGTTTAACACGACGTTTCCACCATGTTCCCATCATACGCCTGACCGTCTTCGCCACATTCCAGCCGTTTGTCGTAAACTACCGTAAATAATCTGCTTTCCAGTGTGTCATTAAAACACATGAGGTGGTTGGTTCCGTCTGCTCGTTGCTAATACGTTGCCGTCTAAAAGCTGGCTGCGTGATCTGCCTACCATGTGATTTGGTCCGGTATGTTCCGCAGTATCTAGCTGGTTGTCTGGCGTCCCCAAGCCAAGTGCCGATGCGCCACTCTCCCTTGCGTGTGCTCTGACCGGCATTGGTGTCGGAGGGGCGTGCATTAACTGGATTGTTGTAAAAGAAGATGGCGTCATGGTGCGAAGAGCGAAGCCTTTATTGATAGTAACGGATGAACTCGTAACGTAACACTAACTTATACTAACAAATGTGAAACATCATATTTTTTAGGACAACAATTTCCTGCTTGAAGCGTGCGACATTGGGCGTGAGTCGATTTTCAAATTGGATTTAAAGTGCGAGTTGGTTTTCGCAGTGGAGGAATAGTGGATTCCAATTCCCCAAGTCATCATTATCAGAACTAGCAGGTGATGATTATGAAATTGGATGACTTTTGCGTCGGCTTCATTTGAAAGAAATCGATACGATTCATCGACTCTTTTTCCTCAACGCGATGCGATTGATTGCGTTTAGCGTACATAATGGAAGAAACCAGCTTCCTAACCAGTCAACTTAGCTTGAACTTCATCCCAAGCCGGCTGCTGTAGACAGAAGTAGCGGAGTTTGCCTCAAATCACAAACGATGGCCCAAATCGACTATAGAATGTTGTTCTGGAGCCATGAACATGTCCCGCACAAAGGTGTATGATTTTATTAAGAACATAACTGAGAGACGGCATAACAAAAGAATGGTTCCAGGGACATTGGGGTTTAAAGTGGACGGCTGGAGCATGAGGACCTGACATTAGTCATGCGGCATAAGGCAGGCCGCGTTACAGCGCTGGCTAGCTCGTAGAATCGGGAAGAGCCAGCCGCTCGTTAACAGAGCACTGAAATATACTCAAGCTAGCCACGGAAGTAGTAAAATGCCTCGAAGGTATCACACACACAGAAGACACGTCTGCGCCGCCCGTTGCACTCTAGCATACGAACGGAGGCGGGAAAGGATGCGGTCAGGGACGCCGAGTCGTACTTGGCGTACTTAGACGATGAAATGCATGCAGGCTGCAAGCTGTGGCTGCCACTCAAGACCCGGCGACGATGTCCCAGATCATGGCAAATACGAGGGAATATGCAGGTTTTTCGCAATTTTCTGGGTTGGCCGGCGGTCCCCCTAATTTAAGTGTCCCTGACAGTTGTTATTCCTTCGGTTAACGATATTGGAGGGGATCGGACAGAGAAAACTACCGGCATGAGATCCTCCTGCTGTACTTTTGGACTTCCTACCCAACAGGAGTGATTCTCCTTTCTGTCCAGACGCAGCCGTGGATCATTACGCCAGGGCTGCTGGAAAACGACGTAGCTCCAGACGTGCCACGTGGCAGCAATTCCCCTCCCCCCCCCCCCCCAACCGCCGCTTCAACTGATGGAGCTTTTCTGTT